CCTTTCAATTATATCAGTTGTTAGGATGTCGTGGGTCTTGTCCCGACTTCCATCTTTATCAGTTAGAGGCTTCATAGATAGTCAGTATAGTTGAGAAGTATGTATCATTTATTTTATTAAATGTTTTAAAGACTAAAGTTGCCTTTTTATGGCGAGTTGCATATATTTTATTATACAGAGTTTTCTTTGGACTTAAAGTTTATATTTAAGTTTTATGAACTTTTATTTCAGTTTTTAAGCTTTGTATGCTTGAATCAGTTTTCCGCTTGTAGTCAGCCAGGATGAGGGTTCGCTTGGGGACCAGCAATGGTCTTCGAGTGCCGGCCACGTCCAGGGTGTAGGTTCGGGTCGTGACAGAGTCTTTAAGTTCTATGTATTGTTGGTGTAAAAATATTTATACAATCATGCTATGTTGCTCGAATCCTTCAAAAATAGTCCTTTTTTTGGAAAATCCAACCAATTTTGAAGAGCTCAAGCAACACAACTTGCTTGTGTGTATATTTTTTACATCGATGATAGCTAGCGCTTAAGAATCATTCAAGAAATCAACATTTTTCACATAGCACTCAAGAATCATTCAAGAAATCAACATTTTTCATACAATGTCACGGTTGTGTGTCGAATCCTCCAAAAAATATTTAATTTTTTGAGGATCCAACACGAATGTAGCAACAACATAACAATCAAGTCATTAATAAGATAATAACATATTAATTACTATAACATACATGAATTGAAAACTAACCTTACAAGGAAAAAATGATTACAAAGTTGGATTACCATTTTGCCCTTACACTTATCATAACCTCAAAGTTAAATTACCGTTTTGCCCTTCCACTTAATTAAAATGATTAAATGTCCAATTAAATAATAACATTTTAATTACATAATAACATAATTTGAATTCCAAGAGTTGTACTTTAATTCTTTAATTATAACATTACAAATTTCTTTCGTTTTCTACTTCTTTTTAGCTTTCATATGTTAAAAAACTTTTCATATCCTTTTACATTCTATAAAATCAATAGCTTTAGTCTTTGGTCTATTGTCAGTTTATTTTAATGCTTTATTCTTTAAAATGCTCAAAATTTGGTGTATGCACAACTCTGTGGATAAAGGTATATTCTTTTTTATATTAGTTTCTTCAATTAACTTTCCTTTAAGTTGTGCAGACCTTTGTTTTGCTTTTAATAAGTTTTGTTCTCTTTTGCTCTTTGTTGTTCATTGCTTGCATCTTCAATCTTCAAATTTTGGTTTATATTAATTATGTGACTTATTTTGCTAGGTCTTCTTTTCAAATTCTTGCATCTCCTCAATTATTTCCTTTTTTATATTTTTTAATTTAAGAAATTTATACTAATTAACATAGAATACAAGTGCAACGCACGTGTTCGAGAATGAGTCTTTAAGTTCTATGTATTGTTGGTGTAAAAATATTTATACAATCAGGCTATGTTGCTCGAATCCTTCAAAAATAGTCCTTTTTTGGAGAATCCAACACGATTGTGGCAACAATTTTGAAGAGTTCAAGCAACACAACTTGCTTGTGTGTATATTTTTTACATCGAAGATAGCTAGCGCTTAACAAATCATTCAAGAAATCAACATTTTTCATACAATGTTACAGTTGTGTGTCGAATCCTCCAAAAAATATTGAATTTTTTGAGGATCCAACATGAATGTAGCAACAACATAACAATCAAGTCATTAATAAGATAATAACACATAAATTACTATAACATACATGAATTGAAAACCTTACAATAAATGTTACTACTAACCTGATAGTATAAAAATTATTTTAACTGACGATATATATAACTATTACTCTTTGAGTACTAAGAACCAACTAGCAAATTCTCCCAAATATTTATAGGTCTAGTTGGGTTTTCTTGGAAATCATCAAACACAAGAACCTTCCTTCACTTTTGGACAAATAGCTCTTAAAAAAAGGAAGACTTATTTATCCTTTTTTCTAAAAAAAAATGGTACACTGAATTGAATAGCATATTCCTCTAAAATCCTAGAAATTATTTTACTATGGGTTTTACAAAATTCCAAAATAAATAAATTCAAATGCTTATATTATAAGGAAAAAAATGACAACAACAGAGAGATAATTAATAACAACAATAAACATACTCAATGTAATTTCAGAATTGAGGTCTGAAAATGTAGTGTATATGCGTGCAGTCGTATCTCCTGTTTAGTGAAGGTAGAGATGTTGTTTATGATAATCAGCGACTTAAATAACAACAATAAATAATAGAATTATTGAAGTGAAGAAAACAATAGGAATATTAAAATTGAAGAATAAAATAATCACGAATGAAACGTGTGAGATAAAGTGTAAACATACCTTTCTCGTAGCTTGTAGGGTAGCTCACGAGAAAAAAAAAGTTTTCGAAGCAGAATTGCAAGAAAAATACAAAAGCGAAAATAAGAAAGATACAAATATCATATATTATTAAAAGTGGGAAGTTCCTAACCTCAAAGTTGGATTACCATTTTGCCTTTCCACTTATCCTAACCTCAAAGTTGAATTACCGTTTTGTCCTTCCACTTAATTTAAATGATGAAATGTCCAATTACATAATAATATTTTAATTACATAATTACATAAATTGAATTCCAAGAGTTGTACTTTAATTCTTTAGTTATAACATTACAAATTTCTTTTGTTTTCTACTTCTTTTTAAATTCCATATGTTAAAAAACTTTGCATATCCTTGTACATTCTATAAAACCAATAGCTTTAGCCTTTGGTCTATTGTCAATTTATTTTAATGATTTATTCTTTAAAATGCTCAAATTGGTGTATATATGCACAACACTCTCTGGATAAAGGTATATTCTTTTTTATATTAGTTTCTTCAATTAACTTTCTTTTAAGTTGTGTAGACCTCTGTTTTGCTTTTAATAATTTTTGTTCTCTTTTGCTCTTTGTTGTTCATTTCTTACATCTTCAATCTTTCAAATTTTGTTTTATCTTAATTACGTGACTTATTTTGCTAGGTCTTCTTTTGAAATTCTTGCATCTGCTCAAATTTTTCGTTTTTTATTTTTTTTATTTTAAGAAATTTATACTAATTAACATAGAATACACGCGTTCGAGAATGAGTCTTTACGTTCTTTGTATTGTTGGTGTAAAAATATTTATACAATCAAGCTATGTTGCTCGAATCCTTCAAAAAAATAGTCCTTTCAACACGATTGTGGCAACAATTTTGAAGAGTTCAAGCAACATAGCTTGCTTGTGTGTATATACATAAGGTTTATACAGTGGATTAAATGTCTTCAAATTTAGTTTTTGACACACCAAACCGTTCATCAATTCGAGTACTGCACAAATTTAAATATTTAGTTATGCACACTCATAATTAAAAAACATAAATATCAACTGAAATCCATAGTTAAATCACATTATTAAATATCCTAACTAGTAGGCACCTTTATGTCGTACTCAAAAAATGACTAATCAAACCATATTCCAAATTATGTAGAAAATATCATAGAATACTTGGCAGAAGATCCAAGATTTATCAAAAATAGTACTATTTTATTTGACCTTTAAGCAAATAAATCATAATTTATTATTAGGTGGAGTCTCTTGCTCCAGTAATACTTGCTGAGAAGTCCTCCTTCACTTTGTAAACTTCAATTCCAGAACCTAATGTATTTGCTGCTACATCTGAAGCATCAGAAATAGATTCAAGAATTTCTCTGGTAAGTTCAAGAAAGGTATTTTCTTCGTTTTAATTTGTTTATTTTCATTTTAGTCTGTTTTGAAAAGAAGGCTCTATCCCTTTTTAACAACTGTTTCTATTTAATTACGAAAGTACAAAATTAAAGGATAGTTTAATACATTTGACATAGACCACAAGATTTTCTTTACTTTGTTAACTCCGTGTCACATCAAAACATGAGAAACAAATTGAAACGAAAATGTACTTTTTAGAATTCACAAATGTTGAAATTTTAGTTTTTAGTTTATGAAATTTAGGTGAAAAAAAACAAACGAAAATGTACTTTTTAGAATTCACAAATGTTGAAATTTTAGTTTTTAGTTTATGAAATTTAGGTGAAAAAATGTTTTTTTTTACCCTACCAGCAACTCTCTTGTCTTGTCAGGTGATAAAAACAATAGTGAATAATTTTTATGGCCTAATAGATACTTTTCTTTACCTTCACCAATTTTGATTTCTTATTAAAAATTGTGTTAATATCTTAAACTACTCTGTTGTGAGCTCATCAAGTACTGTGCTTGTGAGTTATAGTAGGTTGTGTGGTAGATTAATCGAGGTACATGCAAGTTGCGGTCAAATTTTCTTGTGTTCATATCAAAATTGAACTTGTTTTGTTAGGGAATCAATGGAAGAGGACCAAAATTAGGGTTTGCTCTACAAAAATGTTTTTCATTAAGAAATCATTTGAATTACAGAATATATTTCAGTTAATGATAAAAAAACACATCGAAAGTATCATTTTTTTGCGAGTTTCGCACCTCAACTATTAGTTGTTCCCTTTCCTTGCCTGATAGATGGTTATAGTTCAGACAAGGAAAGGGAACAACTAATAGTTGAGTTGTGAAACTCGCAAAAAAAAAATGATACTTGCGATGTGTTCTATGTATTAAAACACAACTCAAAGTTGGTCAACTATCAATTGTTCTCTTTTTCTTCATGAACTAGCGGCGCCTACTCAACGAACTATGTTTTAATACATAGACGGTAATAGTTCAGATAAGAAAAGGGGTAGATGGTGATAGTTCTGGTTAAAAGAAAGGGAACAACTGATAGCTAGAGTGTGAAACTATCTGTTTAATACTATGTTGCTTGGACTCTTCAAAGCTGTTGTTGCACTCGTGTCGGATCGTCCTAAAATGCACTACTTTGGAGGATCCGACATGCACGTGGAAGTATTTTTGAAAAATTCGAGCAATGTACGTTTAATTGAACAATTCTGAAAGCTCTCCTACTGATATTTGAACTATTCAAAATTTTCCTTGGTTTGATTTGCTAGGCAAAATGGCTGAAGCTTTCGTTGAAGTTTTGTTACAAAACCTTAGCTCTTTTATTCAAAAGGAACTTGGATTGTTTTATGGCGTCAATGAAGAATTAATAAAACTTTCAAGCTTGCTATCGACAATCAAGGCTGTCCTTCAGGATGCAGACCAGGAACAACTGAAAGAAAAGGCAATAAGAAATTGGTTGCAGAAGCTAAATTGTGCTACTTATGAAGTTGATGATGTCTTGGATGAATGTGCAGTGAAAGTGATCAGGTTGCAGGAAAAATCCCGAAGAATTGGATGCATTTCAATGCCATCTGGTTTTACCTTGGAGAATCTTTTGTTTCGTCGACAGATAGGGAAAAAGGTTAAAGATGCCATCAGGAAACTAGATGGAATTGCCGAGGAACGTCTTAAATTTCATTTGTCTGAAGTGACTTCGAAGAAACGATTATCCACGACAGACGAAGTACGTGAAACTGGCTTTGTTTTAACTTCAGCAGAAGTCTACGGAAGGGACAATGACAAAAGGAAGATTGTCAAAATCTTAACGAAGCATGTGGATGATTTTCAAGAGCTTTTGGTTCTCCCTATAGTTGGAATGGGAGGTCTTGGAAAGACTACTCTTGCTCAATTAATTTACAATGATGTGTTGGTACATGAACATTTCGATTTGAAAATTTGGGTTTGTGTGTCACATAATTTTGACGAGAAGAGGTTGATAAGAGCAATCCTAGAAGCCATAGTTGGGAAATATATAAATGCTTCCGAGTTAGCTTCGTTACAAAGTCAGCTCATAAACTTGTTGAGAGGGAAACGATATTTACTCATTTTGGATGATGTTTGGAATGAAGATCAGGAGAAATGGGATAAATTAAAAGCCTTACTAACAATTGGTTCGAGAGGTACTTCAGTTATTACCACTACTCGTCTAGAAAAGGTTGCTTCAATTATGGGAACGGTACAGCCACATCGCTTATCCTGCTTGTCAGAGTATGACTGTTGGTTGTTGTTCAAGCAACGTGCATTTGGTCTCGACAGAAAAGAAAGCTCCAAACTTGTGGATATTGGAAAAGAGATTGTAAGAAGATGTTGTGGGGTTCCTCTGGCTGCTAAAGCTCTAGGAAGTCTTTTGCGCTTTAAGAACGATGAAAAAGAATGGTTGTTTGTCAGAGATAGTGATTTTTGGAATTTGCCACAAGACGAAAGCTCAATCTTGCCTGCTCTAAGGTTGAGCTATTTTCACCTTCCTCAAGATTTGAGACACTGTTTTGCTTATTGCGCGATATTTGAGAAGGGCTCCAAAATTGACAAAGAAGAGCTAATTTATTTCTGGATGGCCAACGGATTTATCTCATCGGAGGGAAACTTGGAACCTGAGGATAAAGGTAATGAAATATGGAGCGAATTATACTGGAGATCTTTGTTCCAAGAAGTGCAACAAACTTCAGATGGGAAGATGTTGTTTAAGATACATGATCTTGTTCATGACCTGGCCCAATCTATAATGGATGATGGAATTCATGCAACAAAACTTGAAGGAGGGAAAAAGATATCGACAAGCAGAATTCGACATGAAACAATACATGCCGAAGATAAGTCATTTCTTGCTTTTCCTAAAAGTACTATACCATACAACCCTTCGACAATCGCAATGTATGGTTCTTTAAGGGTGTTGATTTTTTGCTCTGTTCAGTTAAAGGAATTGCCATCTGCAATCGGAGATCTAATTCATTTAAGGTATTTGGACCTTTTCAGTACATGTATTGAGAGTCTTCCTCAGAGTATATGTTCTCTTCAGAATCTGCAGATGCTAAGTGTAGAAGATTGTTGCTTACTTCGTGTTTTACCGAAACATCTGAATTATCTGAGAAATCTTCGACATCTTCGGCTAAGAGGCTGTCCATTGAGTCACATGCCTCCTAATATAGCACAATTGACACACCTCAAGACTTTAAACAAGTTTGTCGTAGGGAAAAAAAGATGTTCCAAGCTTAGTGAATTGCGAGACTTGAATCTTCAGGGAGAACTAGTTATTGAGCACCTTGAGAGGGTTGAAAATCATATGGGGGTGAAAGAAGCTCTAAATTCAAAGCGAAACCTCCACAGTTTAGCTTTGTACTGGAACCATTCCATTCGGTGTGAGTCATCAAAGGATGTTGATCTGCAGGTTCTCGAAGCACTAGAACCTCATTCCGACCTTAAGCATTTGAAGGTATCTGGTTTCAGAAGTACATGCTTGGCAAGTTGGATGAGGGCTTCAGTTTTGAGAACAATCATTACCCTTTATCTTCATGATTGTAAATACTGCTTGCATCTCTCTCAACTAGCTCAGCTTCCTTGTTTGAAATATCTTTCGCTGAGGGGAATTCATGTAGAGTACATTGACAGTAACGCTGAAAGCGGAGTATCCCAATTAAGAAAGTTCCCGTCCTTGGAATCACTTGAGATGTGCAAGCTCCCAAATTTAAAAGGAGTTTCAATCAAAGAAGGAAAAGAGCAATTTCCGAGTCTTCACGAAATGTGGATTGAAAACTGCCCTTTGCTGACATTTCCACACCTTGTAACACTCAGAAATTTGAGAATTATGAAATGCTCAAACATGACTCTAGCCTCTATCTCTAATCTTTGCAGTCTAACCTGCTTAGAAATTGCTAACAACAAGGAACTAACTTCTTTCCCTGAAGAGGTGCTAACGAACCTCACCGATCTTGAAATATTGACGATTATGGATTTCTCAAAGCTGGAAGTACTACCAAACAGCCTGGCAAGCCTCACAGCATTGAAGTCCCTGGATATTGGTTACTGCCACCAACTAGAGTCTCTACCCGAGCAGGGATTGCAAGGCCTCACCTCTGTCCGTAAATTGTCAGTCAGATGCTCTGATAGATTGAAATTTCTGTCTGAAGGATTTCAGTACCTAGCTTCTCTGGAGGAACTTGAAATTTTTGGGTGTCCAGAGTTGGTTTCTTTTCCACAAGAGATTAAACACCTGAATTCCCTTCACCGCGTTCACCTTGATGGTCTGCCATTGTTCCACTCTAGAGAAGATACTGTTATTCACCCTGAGGAGTTGGGTTTCTGGCAACTGCCTGAGGCTTTACGGCATGTCCACAATCTGCAATCTCTTTCTGTATGTAGATTCTCAAGTTTGACTTTATTGCCTGAGTGGTTAGGCGAACTTACGTTTCTCAAGGAACTGAACATAGTACAGTGTGATAATCTTGCCTCACTGCCAGAGTGTATGGAGAGAATGAACCTCCAGTCCTTGAACATTTTGGGCTGTGCAATATTGGAGAAGCGTTGCAAACCGGGACAAGGAGAAGACTGGTACAAGATTGAGCACATTCCAAAAGTGAAAATCAGTCAAAATTGTGATTTTCTTAGTATCAACTTGTCATCAGAGAGGTTCAGTGGTCTAAGGAGATTTCACTTGTAGAAGGCATCACCACTGAAATAATAACAATATATTTTCAAGTTGATAATGCTACTATTCGTGAAGTGATGGCATAATAGTTATGATTATTACAGGTATGTGTAGTTTTACATCTTTCTATTATAATCACATAAACCTGTGTTTGTGTCAATTCTATATCATATGACTTAAGACTGTTCTGCTCCGTGGTCAAAGGCAAGCATATCCAGAGTTATCAAAGGCGCACTTAAGCCCTAAAGTGAGGCGCAAAACATGTTGAGCACTTCGCCTCTCTTCACATGCACTTCAGTATCATCAAGGCTATAAGACATACTTTTCCTTATCAATTGAAAAGGTGACACTAAACAATTGATATTTCACTTTATCCGTCTCTTTTCCAATTTCTGTCTATATGTTTGTTATTTTTTATTATAATTCTTAGCCTTAGACTATATATACATATTTGTATGTTCTCCATTTGTTCCTTTATTCATTATAGGCTCATGTGTTATTTGTGTTTTGCACTTAAAGCCCCAATGGTTAGAGTTTTTTTGCGCTTTTTGCCTTTGATAGCACTGAGCATATCTACTTGGATATCTTCTGTTGCTGTTATGTTTGAAACTATGTTACTAATTTTCTCTTGTTATGCAAGTACCAACAAGTAGAAAATTTCTGAATTCGTATAATTGTCATCATTCAAGTCAGTAGGCTAATTTTAATGTCCCCAACAATGTTATTTACTTACATCAGGGCTACCAAAACTGTTCTTGCAAGTAACAATGTGCCTAATCTTATTTCTCAATATAGAAGTAGAAAACTAGAAGTCCTGTTTACTTCTCTCTTGAATCTGTACTGCTTGAACTACTGTTTGACTCCCTTTTAGCCTCATCTAATGCTCCATTTTGCTTCTCATCAGTCCCTAAAGTTTGTGGGATCAAAGGATTATAGTAAGAAGAATATGGAGGTAATGTAATGCAGCTTCCAGGTGCAATATATCTATAAGAAGAGGGGTAAGGAAATGGAGCGAACGCATTAGGTTGAGGCCAATATACAAAAGGTGTGACAGAATTTGGTGGATACATTGGGAAAACAGGATATGTACATTGGTTATGGTAGTGAATATTGGGCACGGTATTAGCCATTACAAGTTTTCGCGTATCTGCTGGTGCTTGAGGTGATGGTATTGGTATAGTCATCTGACTTGGAGACGAGGCGTAGCCCATTAGTCCAAATGGTGCTGGAGGTGGGGCAGAACATGAAGGTTCAGAATGTATAGTTGTAGCTTTCTCTGAAGTTTTGCTCTTAGAGATTGCTTCTCTCTTGCTTTTCGATGATTTTGTCAATGCTTTTTTCCCCTGCTGTGAATTGGGACTAGTATTCTGGAACAACGTGAACAATTGCATCAGAAAAGACATAAAAAGGTGTCAATTAGTCTAAGATGTGAAAGTTAAAACTCCAAACTAAAGTCACAAACAATGATTATCTTTCCTAGTAATTACTTATACTCCCTCCGTTCCAATTTAAGTGTCTTTAGTTTGACTAGGCAAGGAGTTTAAGAAAATAAAGCAAGGCTTTTGAATCTTGTGACCTTAAACTAAAAATGTATGTAATGTGCCAAAATGTTCTTTGAATCTTCTGGTCTTAAACATGTCATTTAGAATGTTGGAATGAAAAAGTTACTAAATATAGAAAGAGGCGTTCTTTTTTAAACAGACAAAAAGGAAAAGTAAGACACTTATCTTGAAATGGAAGTAGTATTCTTGAGAACATTTAGGAAGGAATTATTATTCATAAGTTGATGTAACTGGGTTTTACTTTGCAGCAGAGTTGCCACAGATTTCAGAGAAAATGACTGAGTTGCAGATCTTACAATAGCATCAGTCTCAGAATGTGATAGAAATAACTCCTCCCTTTCTGCATCCTCATCTGTCCTGCAAATAAGGAGATGATTTGACAATAAGAATCTTTCGAGCCCAACAAAATAAAAAAAATTCCAGCAGAACGTCTGCGAACAAGGTAAAAGGGATGCCAGGTGCACGAAGCATCCCTCGTTCATGAAGGGTCCAAGGAAGGGTCCAAGGAAGGGCCGTACCCAAGGGGGTGTGATGGTGGCATCTTACATTGAAGCAAGCATCAGTGGCTGATTCTACAGATCGAACATGTGACCTAGAGGTCACATGAAGACAAACTTTACATTGCTCCAAGGCTCGAAAAGGTTTTCTTTTTCTTTTTCTTTTACATTTGCTTCCTTTGATCAATTCGGAGTTGTTTTTGTGATACCAAATCATTTATAGGCATCTGATAGCTTGTAAATATGTACTCCCTCCGTCCCGATTTATGTGTCTTTCTTTCAAAAAGAATGTTTTTATATATTTTGTATGTTTTGAATTCCAACATTACCATTTTACCATAACGACCCTCTCTTAGGAGTGTACATGACATGTTCAAGACTACAAGATACAAAGGGTATTTTTGGTATGTTATTTTAGCTTAACACCGCAAGATTCAAAAAGTCTTTTTTTACATTCTTAAACGTCGTATCAAGTCAAAACTAACATAACTAAATGAAATGGAGGGAGTATATACTCTTTTTCCACGATGCACTATAGGCTACTTGAGACGTACACAAGACAAACATGCTATGCAGAATACCTGTAATACTTCTGTAAGAGGTCCAAGTTCTTATAGTTGGTTTCTCTTTGAACCAGGTCATTAGGAAAGCCAGCCATGAAGAGAAGTGTAATTCCTAAGGCCTTAAAGAAGAAGCTTCCGCTGCGAATATGGATCAGCATTGCCACCCGACATATTACCGGACCAAAAGATTTCAGTTTGTTTCTTCCCATTCTCTGCCGGACATATCTGGTATGACAATGCATCAATTTACAGACTAATAAAATCTCATCTATGAGAAAAAATGCCTAATTAATTTCATGTTTGTGCCTTCAGTCAAGATTTTGATATATATTTAGACAACTAAAAACTCAATTTTGGTGTAATGTTAACTAGATCAGTTCAAGTTATATACATTACAATGTTAAGGATGTTTACACTATCACTGCAATTTTTAGTTTGTCATATCAGATTCGATATGGAGAGTTACCTATAAGTCAACTGAACCCATATTACACAAAAAAAAATCCTTATATGGTCAATACATGAAACATTAAGTCAATATTATTGCAACGAAATGTACGGAAATACTATAGTTATGCAGTCTTACTCATTTTGAGGAAGATTTCTTGTCCTTCCTCCATACTTGATGCATAGGAATAAGCATGACGGGCAGGTGGCATCCGAGGGACGCATGAACTTCTCCTCTTCAAGTATTTTAACAGGACACAAGGTTGGGTTGTGTCTGTTGGGATATAATATCTTCCTCCGAAATCCAGGGTTATCGTATAATACATGCTCCTGGTACAGAACATATCAAGTCAATTGAAATTTGAACCACTTTGTATGTATAAGAAAGTGATACAACAAAAGTTTTAGACATTCATGTTTAGTAGAATAACTTAATTAATAGTTTTCAATGATTTCTAACAGTATATTATATGAGTGAGCATGGCCATCAAGAAAATCGAGCTTTTCTTCTGCTAAATGAATAGTTTTACAATGGGCAGATTTCTGTTCTTACAATAAACAGTTGCTTCATTGAATGATGAATTAAACTAATTTGTATAATGTGTATAACCATGTATAATCCAGTGTATAATCTATGTATACGGTCTAGAATTAGTAAACAGTGAAGCGACATATAATTGAAGTTTAGTAGCATACCCCTGGACTTTTTGAATCTATATATGGTTCTCCCTTGTGTAAAATGCTGAAATGATTGAAGTCTAGTTCATACATGTCTTCACTCCCGTGCCTTATACCAAGAGGTGCGAAAACTAAGATTTTTCTCATAGTATGAGATTGAGCATTTTCCAGTGAAAGTTCTTTTGATCCTAGCATTTTCTTTACTTCCTTGGGACAGAATGCCATCTTTAGGGACTTTTTATGTGACGATGCACTTCCCGGTCTTCTTATTCCATGATCAATAGGACAGGCTTTTGAAAGCTCCTCGTAGGCTTCGAGCATATAGGTTTCTTCATTATTTGTGTTCTTGCAATCGTCCATATCAGTTGGTGAACTTTTTTCTGCTGGATCTGCATGATGATCACTACTTCCCAAGACTGGTGGATCACTTGCTTCACCGATATCTTCTTTCAGTTCAGCGATCTCCTTCTCAATTTGCAAGCTCTTGACATTTCCTCTATCTACAGTGTCAGTATAAGTGCCACTGTCCTCGGATTCTTGGTCATCTTCATCTTCGCTATCATCAGGGTCATTTTCTTCAGCTGAATTACTGTCTTTGGATCTTTCAAAATTCAGAAACTGAGTATCATCCATGCTCATCCAATTCACTAGGCAATGTTCCGTATGAACGTCTTTCGTTAGGAAAATTTCGGTATGATCCTTCACCTCTGAGTCCATTTTTCGTGTTCTGTCCTCATTAGTGTCGATACATTGTGCTACTCTTTGTCTCTTGAGCTTTCTGAAATGTCTTTCGTCTATACTTTGACTACTGGCCTGTGATAAAGATATATATGAAACACGACATATTCAGCTAGTACTCAGCATTAAGCAAGTATATATGAATGTTCATAAATTTACAAAGATTATCACTAATAGAACTGTTATATTATATGCTTAATATCTCTGAAGTTGCATATATACATAGATAAATATAACAGGACAAAATTTTACTTCTCAACATAACATAATTGCAGTAGTGCTGAAACTCTGAAACAGTAGCAAGTGATTAGTTATGTTAACAGATTCTATTCGATTTCAGTTTTTTTTTACTATGCTCCGCCTAATGCTTCTGCAATTTCTTTGACTTTGAAAGTGAATCATGTTGCTGCATACGCTCCGAGGGAAACTCATATGTTATACTTCTATTTACAATAGTAACCTATGTTCCTCAGACTCTCCAAAAATGTTGTCACCTATGTGTTAGATCCTCCAAAATGTGCTACTTTTGGAGGACTAGACACACACCAGTCGGCCTTTTTGAAGAGTTCGAGTAACATAGCTTATAACTTCCAGCAAGCTACTTGATACATTCCTTTCTACAGTTGTTGATAGAGTTTTTGCTCCACCACCCCCACCCCCCAAAAAATATATGATGCCATTACTTCACTGCCTAAGGAGAAACTTGCAGAGGTCTTAGCTATTGAAGTTCAACCAATCATTTCATAGCATCTTTTAAGTAACTGTCCGTTTGAACATTAAGTCTTCAAGAAGAGCAAAGGAACGTCGCGAAAAAAGAAACTTCCTAGATATTTGATAATCACAAGTTAGCTCAATCAGATGAAAATAGACCTCGGGTGCCTAACTCAATCTCTAAAGCTTAGCTCGTGAGATGAGAACTGTCTCTAAGACCATATAAGGAGACAACAACTCATTCCCTCAACCAGTGTGTGGCACACTTACCAATAGTGAAGCTAAAATACCTACATGTATATAAAAAGTTGAGTTGAGAAATTATACATTTCCATTCGAGAAGATGAAATCTTTGTGTTTTTCTTGTATGTGAGATTCAAGAACTGATATTCTCTCCATGAGCTTCGCGTTTTTCTGTTTCTCCCTTTGCAATTCTGCAGAAATCTCAGCAATATTGACATTCAGAGTTTTCTCTTCTTTCAGTTCTTGCTCAACAGTGCAACATGTAGCAGAAGCATTCACCATGCTGTTTTTCAACATTCCTGTTTGTAATATTTCACCACAAATCCACAAGAGAAACTAGTTTTATTGTTTTTATGCTGGCCAGAGGCAGAGTTAAGGGCCGGGGTGTCGTCGAAAAATTATAATGTATATTCAAGATCAAAATTACCTTTTGTGTTTGTATATATACAGCACATGTTGAATCCCTTTGTTGACTTTTTCGTGTATTTACTTCTTTATATTTTGAAGGGCAACAATAGTCTCTCCCTATAAGTGGAATCTGGAGAAGGATCGAAGCACATTGAGTCTATTATAGACAGTCTCCCTATATTTATATAGTAGATATTGTATCTCTCTCTTGACTTTTTCGTGAGTTTACTTCTTTATGTTTTGAAGGTATTCTCTCTGCAATTTTTGCAGGGTTTTTTCAACCTCAAAATTAAAGTGCATTTGGTACATTCTACACATCGTTAGTTTAAGACCACAAGATTTAATTTATTTTAAAAAAAAAATAAAATTGTATTGTCAAAATCAAACAAACAAATTGAGATGGAAGGTGTAATAAAAATAACTTGTGTACAACAAACACTCAATACTTTTACTAAAACAAAATTAAGAACTATATGTCTTCTAGATTTCTTCATAGGTTGAGGAATCTGTTTACTTCTGTCATTCAATTCTTTGGTTGGTTTTTCTTTTTCTTTTTATGGCACAAAAATTAAAATAATACTTAAGATAACAATTTTAAAAAAGGAAAGCTTTGCTGTTAAGTGAGGTTAGTTTCCCAATAATAGAAAACATTAGGAGCATCCTAGGCTATAGTTTGATGTTCCATATTTTTTTCTATTTTCAATTCTCTCGAAAATTCTGACTCTACCACTGAACTGAATCATCAATGTACGAGTTCGGTCAAACTCATTGTTTTAATTCAAATCTTATATTTATATTAATGAGATGATATCATTATCCAGAATTTATAACCTATAAAGTTCAAATTTTCACTCTGCCTGCACTTACTTTTCTTGTCCAGTATTCATATTGAAGTCTGACTAATTCAGATTTGTACTGAAGCTCCTTATCAAAGATTTTTTCATACTCAAAACTTGAACTCGAAACCTCCAATTCAGGAAGAAGCAGTCCTATCCAACTTATTATATCCTTTGATGATGATCATTTTATGTAGTCACTAATTCATCCCTCCACTCCACATAGTAAACTCCAAGAATCAACATTCATTAAAGATCAATTTTTTAATTTTATCTTGGCATATGAGCCCAATGTAGCAATGACAGTCTGTTTTTTTCCAAGACAAAAAAAAGAAGGAGAAAGTGCACACGTGCTCATGAATATAATATGAATATGGAGGTACAACATAAAATATTTATATTAACCTCACGTGCAACTGACAACTCCAAAGGATTTGTCTCCATTGCAATTTATGTCAGCATAGGCTTAAAACGGATAATATCAATTAAGCGTATCTTTGAATTGTATTATCTTAGCAATTGATATCGGAGTTAATGATTATGATAAAGTGATGGCATGAGGTTTAGTTTATTGTGTTTGTTACATGATACAAATTAATATTCTAATATTGACAAAATATTTTAAATTAATTAGTCAAACATAAAATGTTACTCTTGATTTTTACTTTATTTTTGAAAAAAAAAATAAGTTATGGTAAAAGGAAAAAAAATACTTTGTTGGAATATTAATTCAAAGTTGAAGTAGGAATTCTATGTTGTTTAGGATTTGTTATTTTGATATTTATTTAATTAATGTCTAGTTAGAATTTATTTGTCCTAATTCATATAGGATAAATATTTTGTAGTCTTAATTTAATTTGGATGCTTACTATTATAAATAGGATGTTGTTAGCTATTTTTAATATACAGAAAATATATAAACATACAAAAATGTATATAATAGATAGAACTTGAAGTAAAATTCAAGAACCTTTAAGTTTATAAATAAAATATTTTTCTGCGAAGCGCAAATTTGAAAGCCGTCAAAAAGCCTATCTATAAGTAAAAATTATAAGAAAAAAGTGTTAAGATCAAAAAAATAAAATCACCAAAGAAAACAGAAGATAGACAGTACCCTTCCATAAATCTTCTACTTGGAGAAACACTGCATAATCGTCTTTTGTATATGGTGGGTCATGCGCTTGAGAAGAAGATAAATAACAATACCAACATACCCAGTGTAATACAATTGAGGATTGGGGGTACGTAAATCTTATCCTATTTTGTGACGTAGAGAAGTTATTTCTAATAGATCCTCGGCTCAAAAGAAAAATATGCAGCACAAGATTATAAAAGAAAAAAGACAATAAATTAAAATAGCAAGATATATACGAACAAATGAACCAATAAATAGTAATACACAATCAAAAAATACGAAACAATATTCCTTATAATATCTTTGAAAAATATTTTTCATAAGCAAATTGTGTTTAACTGATCTTTTTTAAAAAATGATTTTGAGAGTCAAATTATGAAAAAGGACAACTATTAATGTACTTTAATATTAAGATTTTTTTTTAGAGAGAAACTATTTTAAATATCTATTATAAAAAAGTTAATTAAACTTTTATTTTTATTAAATTAAAATGTACATATTTAAATTTTCAATAAATATTATACCTTTTTTTTAGGGTTGAGATCTTTAATTGTTATTTTTTTTTTCTCTTTATTCTAACCTTACAAAAATATTATTATTATTATCTTTTTTTCTAATTATGTAAAATTATACATAAAATAATTTGGAAAATATAGAATAATTATATATACACGGAAAATAAAATATAAAATTTATTATATAAAAATAAAAAATAAAATTCTTAAATGAAATTTAACCAAACTTATGAGATATGTTAATTAATTAATAAGAGATATATTGGTAAATGTGTATATATGAAAGGCATATTTTGGTCTTGAGAAAAATAATTTTGTGTTTCTGCATCTCCTGCTTTTATTTAGAAGCATTTTTACTGATTTGTCAAACACGTAATTTTTCAATAAAAATATTCTTTTCTCAAAATAAATATTTATGGCCTCCCAACCGCCATGTCAAACACTCTCCGAACGGTGTCAAAGAGTGGAATGTGATTGTAAATCAAAATAATTAATAGCTTAAAATATTTGAAAACATAAAAAAAAAACTTCGTTAACTTTCAAAATTTCATTTATACAACATAAACTGTGGTAAAGGAAGAAATATATATTATGTATAATACATAAAATATATTATAAATCACAATAATTGCATGTTAAATACCAAAAGGAAACTTTATAAGTTGATGTTTTTTTAATATTTTTTTTCCAGATCAAAAAGTGATATTGCTTTGCATGTCATGACTTACCTATTCCACGCATAAGTTTGGCATGAAACCTATATTGGTATACCTACTCCATTCATAAGTTTGGCATGAAATCAATATATATGCCTATATAAGACTATGAGTTCAACAAGTTTTATACCCACCAGCTTTCTCAAAGTTAGATTACATGAGTGTCAAATCAAAGACATAAAAATGAGAACTCGCTATTTGATATTTTTACTAGGTATTAGTATAGTTTATGTGGAGAGTCAATGTGATCACATGTAATATGTAGCAGTGGCCGACTACATTTTATAGAATTGAAATTGTATAAGTCATGTTCCACGACATGCATTTACTATACATGCCCTCTAAGCCCGTATAGCTTTCGCGTGCCAGAGACATGTATTGTAAATTCATGTTGTGGAACACTTATTCAAGTTTCAATTCTGCAAAAAGTAGCCTGCCATTGCAATACATATTGGATGTGATCATATTGGCTATCCACATAAACTATACTAATAACTAGTAATAATATCAAAGAGTGGGTTTTCATTTTTATGTCTTTGATTTGATATAAAAGAATGTAATCTTATATAGGCTTACATAAGGATGTAGCAGGTAGCATCTTCTCTTTGTTTGAATTATGTTTTTCTTTATCCATTCATTATCAGATGTCTTGTTGAAATGAAAGCCCTTCATTTCTTAATGCAAGTATTTTAAACAACATATTCAATGTAAAATTCATAAGCAGGGTCTGAAATAAATGATATGTACGCAATTTTAACTTTATATTATGAAGACATAAAAGTTATTTCCGATGTATTTAATCAATTGGACTATGAAAATTATTCATTTTTGCAAAAAATTTGAAATTTCTAGCACTAGTCAAATCAAGTCTGCCACCAAACTCTTTGGAAGAAAATCCAAAAAATTAACAGTCTTAATTTACTTGATTTTGTCTGGTTAATCAGCTGAGTAATTGTATGATTCTCAATGATTTTTTTCAATTAGTGTCATTGATTTAGTAGATAATAGTTCACATTCAACTACTTAATCTTTTTTAATTTATATGATATTATTAATTTGAACTATACTCATCGAAAGAATTGAATTATTCGATTTTTTCTGTAAAAGATTTCATAAATGGGGCTAACTATTTTTGATAATATACCTCAATTGATTGCCTTTTTCTTTGTTTTTTTTTCGAGTGAAGTGACTCACAGTAGGCCCCTCAGTAGCTAGATTCTATTTTTTTCTTTGTGAATTTCTTGACTTTTCGCCAAGAGTGTTTTTGTTAATATTTAATTATATTCACTAAATCTATTAATTCTTAAATGTTCTTGATGGATGCAGAATTTGGGATCCTCATTATTTGTGTGTAAAATGAGCTTATAGGAGTGTCAATCATCCAACCCACTAGGTTTGAGAGCGTAGAGCTTCGTTCAATTTATAGGTCCTCTAATATATATAAAGCGAGGAGTTGTAACAAACTAGGTAACTAACTAATCGGTGTGATGCATAACAACCAATCAATGTCAAGTTACATCTACACACTTATCTAGTGGTAGTAAGGTATAAAAGTCTTCCTATCAATCTCTGATAGTATGTGAAGGAGATATATTGGCATCAAACTCCAATCCAATTGAAACGCGCAACATAAATGAATGAATCTGAGCATTTACTCCCTCATGAGAGTGAACATGATATATTCAAA